CTGCTGTCACCTTGATTTTAGCCCCCTTGGATTCACTTTGGACATCTGACCTCCAGACCTGTGAGAGAATAAACATGTGATGTAAGCCACTAAATTTGTGATCATTTGTTATAGGAGCCACAAACAGATGACCAAGGAGGGCTCCCCCCTTTGACACAGGCCTGCCCACTGCCTCTACCCCCTTTAATTCCTTTCAGAACAGAAACCATCCATGAGGACTGAGTGGGCTGGGTCATGTCCTCTCTCCCTGCATCTCCATCCCCCAGAGTGGTTGGAGCCCAGACCCAGGGAACCTCTCAGGGGAAGTCCTGATGTGGGACCTGGTTTTCAGGCTGGGGCTCACAATTCAATGGAGACATGGTCCCAATAAATATCACCCACCAGGAAGATGGCAGGTGACTTTCTATGCCACATACTTGAGAGACTACTCCATTCCCTTTGGCTCACCCATGGCAGAGCAGAAGTATAAGTGGGGAACTGCCCAGGGATCTGGGGGCAGCCAAGGGACATGAGCAGGGGCATGAGTGGTCCTGGGTGTATGGTGGTGCAAGGTGTTGTGGTTTCATGTCAAGGACCTACCCCACATCCAGGGACAGAAGCTGGCCTGGTTGAGCCACCTTGGTGCGGGAAAAACAGGGAACTATTGCCATGTAATTTCCCCTGCCCCTCAGCAATGGTGACCTGGAGCTTAGGATGACATTATTGGACCTGCACTGAGGGCTCCTTGCAGGCTTCTGTAAGAACTTCCCATGAGCTGGCCGAGGGTCGTTACTATGTGCTGAGGTTATTGTGTGCTCAGGGACTAATTCCCCTCAACACTGAGGCCTTAGGTGAAAATGTCCCTATTTTTAATTGTGGTATAAAAAGCATCCAGCAAAGTTTTTCTCAATCTTCTAGAAACAATGAAGTTCCTATTTCCCTCCTTGTGCTCTTCCCAGGCAGCTCAGAGCTTATCTCCGACAAGTGTTCTGAGCCTCCTACAGATCTATTGTGTGAATTTCCTTCATGACTTCCTCATATTCCTTTCACATCTCTGAATTTCATATTGGATGAAGAATTGAGGTGGGCCCTGAATTTAAGAGCTTGTGAAGTTGACAGTGTTGGTGTTTCCTGGACTAGGGGAGGGCAAGAGAGGAAGGAGCTGAGCTGCACAGAGAGGGAGGAGGGCATTTCAGGAACAAAGACTGGGAGCAGAGGATATCCAGGTTCAGAGTGGGGCTTCTAGACTGAGGAGTGAGGACTCAGGGTAGACAGAGGTTATGGACCAGGGCATGACCAGAGGGCATATTTGCAGGCCCAGCCAGGGGAACTCCATCCAGAAAGGAGGCAGGGAGTGAGGATCCTGCTGGGAGAAGGAAGAGGGAAAGGAGAGGTCACAGAGACTGATATTTGGTGACCAGACTCCTCATGCCTTAGCCCGTTTCCTGGGGAGATGTTCAGGGAGCTTGTTTGCCTCTCCCTGGGGCAACTTTTCCACTGGGTGCAGGAGACCCACACCTCTGAGAACCCAGGGGGAATGTCAACTCAAATATGAGATAAGGAATAATGAGATGGAGAGGGTTTCTTATTGACCATGAGAATATTTACTAAGGGTTTATTGGTTGCAGGAAGAAGGACTGGATCACTTGAGTGAAGGGAGAAACCTCCACTGGGATCCTGAGCTCCAAGGTCCCATGCATCAGAGGAGGCCTGGACCTAAGAACACACTGTGCATGGGCCACTGTCTGCTCCATGGTACTTGCTTCATGCATGACCTAGCAGCTGTAATTGTGGTGAGATCTCCACTGTTTTGGTTTCAGCATCAGGCCACATCCTTGCTGCTCTGTTTGGAAGGCTTGGTGGTCTCCATGCCCTGGGTGACAAAGCTACCATCTTCCTTCCAGGCCATAGTCATGACTCCTGAGGAGTAGTCACTCATGAAACACATCGGTGTGGTTTTGCTGGCTTGGGCTTCCTCAGAGGAGTGTGGGAACAGAGTAACAGAGGGGGCAACATTGTGCTGAGTTGTGGGGGTAGAGGATGGGTAGGAGGTCAGAGGCCTAGTGTCCATCATGGGGCTTCTGATGTCAGACTTGAAGTGGATACAAGGCTAAGGTCCAGGATAGGGACCTCAAACTGGGCTCTTGCTAGACTGAGGTCAGGTCAGTGAAGGAGTGGGGAGACACTGACTTTCCAGTGGGATACTCTCTGTGTCCAACTCTTGGGAAGTTGCAGGCATCCTTGGATATGTTTTTTTTCCTCATACATCTTCATCACCCATCAATTCTGTCTCTTCTCCCTCAACACTGGATTAAACTGACTATGGGATCCCAAATTCCCTCTGGTATCTGTTTTGGCATGTCTGCCTGAACATCTCCCACCAGTTCTTTCTGTGCTAATTGGTTTGTGAGAATGTCTGTCTGTCCTAGGTCCATGCTTTTCTCTTTCACAGGGAAGGGATTTCTTGCCCACACACTCCCAACCACCATCATTGCAGCTCCGGTCGCACATCCCTACAGGGTTGCCTTGTGGCAGGGGATATCAGTGCTAGGGGCTATATTCCAAGGAGTCCAGTGGGCTACAGGCCTCTGTTTGAGGCTTTTTTCCTTCCATCTCTGAACCTCAGTTTATACCTTCTCTATGGACTCCCTGTCATGGGAAATTCTATAGGAGCATCTGTTTCTCCAATGAGATTTTTTTTTTCTGTGCCATAAGCAAGTGTCCCTGTCAACTGTCCCTATCAGGTGTCTCTGTCCTGGGCATCTGCTCTGGGGTATTTCTCCACGGGTGAGATTGGTAGGCATCAACGTTAAAGCCTGCACGTCCTGAGATGAACCCAGTACATAATATCCTGTCTGGAGGAGGAGGAGGAACTCGGCACCCTGGGGCCACCTTCTCACAGGATATACTTCCTCCATCCTCAGCTCCTTCCCATTTCCTCCTTCATCTATCCATGTCCTCAGTTAATGGCCTCCCATCAAGGTGTGTAAAGTAACCTCATAGCTGGGCCCCATGGACAGCAGAACTCTGGGAGACTGAGCAGTTCCTAGCATCCTTCCTACACCCCAGCCTCCTGTTCCTCTAGGCCCCTGGGACCAGAGATCCTGAAGAAGGGAGTGGACATTGAGAGAACAGAGAAGAATGTCCAAGGAAAGAGAGCCTGCGATGACAGTAAGCCTGAGCGGAGGGCAGGAAGGAATCTGTAGGATTGTCCCTTCCTGCTGTGACCAGGAGGGGCCAGGTTGGAGTCAGGCTGGATTGGGTGAAAGTTCAGACAAGGAGTGGTGGAAGTTACAGAACTCCACAGGCTTAGACTTCAGCCTAGATGAGACAGAAGAGAAAAGTCTTCCCACAGTTCACTCAGGGTCCCAAACAGGGAAAGGGGAGACTCACCGAAGACAGTCAACAAGGTGTCTCCTCCGAACAAAGCACTCATGACACTGTCATGTACACAACCCTCCTAACACCTCATCCAGGACCCCCAGCAGCTGCTAGGGAGGCCTGGGGTCAGCCACCCCCAGCCATGGGGCAGATCTGGGGGATGGATGATGAGGAGGTTGTCCTTCTCACAAAGAAGCACTCTTTATTCAGGAGTAGGAGTCCATCCCTCACCAAGCATGGGAGAGGATGGTGGCCTGTCTGCACACAAAGGCTGGGACCCCTGCTAGAGTCTGTCCTGGAAGAGGTTGCGTGCTCAAGCTCAGCTCAATGGGAATGTTACCAGGAGGAAGTGAGAAGCCTGTTTATGCCACAGGAAAGATAGAACTGGCCCCTGTGGACACCCAAGGCCCTGGAGGGTCTAGCATGCCCATCATGATCCCTGGAGCAGTGCCCATCATGGCAATGGTTGTATATAACACTTGCCTGTGTGTGAGTCCATCCCCCACCAAGACTAATTTATGTTTGTGAATACATGAGTATGCTATGGTTGTGCATGTTTAAATTCTTGAATTCACGTGGGAATGTGTGCCCAACATGATTATGTCTGTGAATTTGTATGTGTCATGTATGCATGTGTGTTTTTGTTTGTGACTGTATGATATGTGTTTGTGTGTGTTTATATCTGAACTCAGGACCCCCCCCCGCCACGTTCTATATCCTGGGACAGTCATTGTCTGGGTCTTAGGTTCCCCACACAGAGCTCCAAAAATTAGAATGGGTTTCCAGACTTGTCTATGGGATCAGCCCAAATCTGACTCTTGGCTTTGATATCCCCAGCCCCACTGACCTCCATGGACCACTGGATATTAGGTATTTAAGGTGAGGTCAGTTTGAACTGACCAATAAGGGCAAGAAAGACAGCAGAGCTGACCTTTGCTCTTCAGGGGCCTTGACTCCAGCTGGGACACTTGTGACACATGAGGGATGAGGGCACCCAGGGGAGACAGGTAGCATAATTGTCAAAGGTCAAGAAGCTGAGGGTCCAGTAAATTTCTACTCCAGGAGGGCTTTCAGGACAAAGGACACAAAAAGGCAGAAGCAGAGTGAGCCCCCAAGAGGGAGAGAGGCTAAGGATCCATGGACTCAAGGGGTTCCTCAGTCCTGAGAGAGAAGGGCATTTTGAGAAGGGAACACTGTCTAGAGTGTGAGACCCAAGAGTTCAGGGAGGAAGCTGGTTCTTCTGGAGGCCATGGAGAGCTGGGAGAGGTTGTCCCATGCTGTTGGACATGGACATGTCCACACAAGAACAGCACGTATGGGAAGGCAGGCAACACTGGAGCCTGCTGCCCCATTACTCTGTTCTGAAATATTCTCTGGGTCTTTCAGAGTGATAGTGAAATTATCTCCTCCAGACTTCCAAAGTCTTTCCCCTGTCCCTTTTCCCATAAGGCTAAAAGGAATCTGTTCATCTTTCAGATTGGTCCAATTTATGATGGACCAGATTATCTGATTGCCAATGAGGATATTTATTGAGGATTTATTGCATACACAGAGAAGGGCTGGATGACTTTGCATGGGGGGAGATATTTTTCCTGGGATCCCAAGCTCTAGAACCCCATGGGTAAGGGGAGGACTGGGCCCTAAGAACACTGTTCAGTGGTCACTGTCTTCTCCAGAATGCTCTCTTCATGTGTGACCTGGCAGCTGTAGACCTCGTGAGATTTCCACTGGTCAGGTGTCAGGGACAGGCAGCTGCTGGCCATGTACTTGCTATTGCTCTGTTTGGAGGGCTTGGTGCTCTCAACTCCCTGAGTGATGGGGGTGTCATCTACCTTCCAGTTCATAGACACGGTGCCCAGATAGAAGTCATTTATGAGACACAACATTGGAGCCTTGTTGGTTTGCATCTCCTCAGATGATGGTGGGAACAGAGTGACTGAGGGGGTGGCCTTGGGCTGACCTGTGGGGTTGGGGAGGGGCAGGAGGTCAGAGATCTGGTGTCCAGCTGGGGCTTCTGACCTCAGTTTTGATGTGGGTACAACCCAGGGCATGAACCTTATTCTAGGCCTTGCTAGACTGAGGTTAGGTTTTGGAGGGTGGGGACACTCACTTCCTGATGGGAGATGCCTCAGGGTCTGAGACTGAAAGAGTCTTAAGTCTTTTTTGGCTGGAACTTCTCTTATAAGTTCACACCTCCCTCATTACCCACCTGTGCTCTTCCAGTACTGGCTGGTCTAATCCTTGGGACCTAAAAGTCCTCAGGGAACTTCTCTGGATGAACAACACTTTTAGGGGCACTCCTGTGTATCTGTTTTGGAAGGCGTTTGTCTGTCTTGCTTTCAAAATTTTCTCTCTTTAGGGAAGTGAGTTTATTTCTCACATGTGCCCTGGCACACCATTCCAGGCCCCTCCCCACCTCCCCATAGAGACCTCTCAGTGGGCAGGGGGTGTAATTCTGAAGCCTGTTACAGTGGAGCCCAGTAGATCTAGGGGTTCCCTGTGTGGGCCTGTGTTTGTCCCAAGATGTTTCCTTTTCATAAGATACACTGGGGATCTAGCTTTCCTAGGACATTTGATTGCCAGAGAGGTCCCTGTCGTCTGTGCTTCTCAGGAGTCCCTCCCCTCAGGATTTGCTTTTGGGTCTCTTCTCTTAGTTGGGATGTAGATATGCCAATCTTTGTGCCTGAGAGTCCTCAGAGCATATAGTCAAATGCAAACTGCCTGTCCTGGGGGAGGAAAAGGAATCCAGTTCCCAGGGGGCTGCCTTCATCTCTTCATATCCCCAATCAAAGACCTTCCCTCATCCTATGTAAAATCACCCTATAGCTGAGACCCACATAGGAGAGAACACAGAAAAGCTGAGCTGTCCCAGCTTCCTTCACAAATTTGTGGCCCTGGTGCCCAAAACTCAGCCCGCTGTTCTACTGGTCCCTGTAGGCCTGGAGACTCTGAGGGAGGGAGTAGAACATCCCAGAGTTCAGAGCAGAATATTGCTCAGAGAGAGAGAGGGCTCCCTTGAGTAGGGAGCAGGAGGAGTCACTGGAATCTTCCTTTCCTGCCTTGATCAGGTGCCTGAGAAGATGAGACAGGCTAGAGGGGCTAGGGTTGCAGATCCTAGAGAGATTCAGACCTCTGCCCTAGACAGAATAGAAGGGAGAAAAATATTTTCCCAAAATTTTACCCTGTATCCCCAAAGAAGAGAAAAAAGGGAGACTCACCGAGGATGGTGAACCTGGTGCCACCGCCAAACACATAGCACCATGACTCAACTCCATACACAAACCCTCCTGACACGCCATTCAATCCCCCTGAAGCTTCCCAGGAGTCCTTTTCACATGGACTGGTGGAGTCAGGAGTGGGTGAAAGCATGTCCTTCCAGAGACAAGACCATCTCTTCCTCCAGGGCTTAGGTATCCATTCACCCCCATTATGGGAGGGGTTGAGAAATGTGTGGAACCTGTTTCCTAGATCACTGCATTCCTGAGCAGGGGCTGTGTAGCCTGCATCAGCTGGTGTGTGAATGCCTTGGAGGAGCTGGTGAAAGAAGTTACAATACTGGGATGTTGAAGCTGGAACCCCTTTGAGGAGTTGTATCCTGTGGGGAAGGGTCTAGGTGTCTCTGTGTCCTCCACACTTGGAGGTGGTGGCAAAATGGACTTTGAATGGGAATTGTGGATGGTGGAGAGGATAACATTGATCCCAGGGAAACATACCCCACTGAAAGGTCTGAGTTCGAGTGCTCCCATCCTATGCTTGACTGTCCTAAAGACACAGTATATGGTCACTGCTCATGTTCCCCTTCAGAGCCCACAAAGCAACAGCCTCTCTGCAGGCTGGGCATGCTTGATTAGAGCCGGAATGGCCCAAGTGGAGCTCCTCATAGTGGAGGAGGGGTCATGGGTCCCACTGCCAGTACAGTTTCCTCTATGAACTCTAAAGTGGTGGGATCTCTGCTGTCTCCCTAAGCTTCCAGAAAACACAGGCACCCATTTCCAGTGCCACCAGGAGAGAGTACACAATAGCTTGGGAACACACAGCACCCAACATTGGATGGGCATTTTCAGAAAGGAGCTTGGACATACAAGGTCTGGGAGTTTATCCTGGTTTGGGCTCCTTACCTGCAGAGCTCACACCCATGACACACAACTGCCAGACTGCCCACCTCCGCAGTATCCCCCATAACAGGTGCTTCCATTGACCTCTGAACTCTGCCTGCCGACAGTGATGTGTATGACAAAAAGGTCCCAAGAGGTTTTGTTAAGTGAGAGACCAGGGTCCAGGTGTGAGCTACTGTCAATGAGGCTTAGAAGGAGGGCAGAGGACAGGATCCATGGGGAGACAGGAACAAGGCGGGCCCCTATGGAAAGGGCCGTGCTCTAGATTTTGATGGAGAGAGATTTACAAGTGTGGAAAGTATAGCCTTGAAGGGGGAGATGGAAGAACATTTTGAGTGAAGGTTGGTGCCTGCTGTGAGGGTCCATATTAACAGGAATGGAAGCTCAGACAATCTCCTTGGGGCCACAGATATGGAAGGAATTTTTATCCCATATTTGGCAGAAGTAAACTTGTGCACATTGTGGCAGGAAGCACAGGGTAGATAACCACTGTGAGGGCCCAGGAAAAGAGGGAAGGGCGCTCATCCATTCTTCTGGGGGCCACGGTGATGGAAGGAGTGTTTATCCCCTAGGCTCCAGAAGTGGACTTGTACACAGTGCTGCAGGAAGCACAGGAGAGAGGTGAGAAAGAATAGGCAGGCCTGAGTCCTTCTGATGGTCTTTCCCTTGTTCTGGAACATTTAGTGGTTGTTGAATGACAGTAAAATTATCCCTCAGAAAAACATCAGGGTGCTTTTTATGGCTGCTTTGTCCCCAGATCAAAGGATTCTGTTCACCTTTGAATATGGTTAAATGTAGAATGGAAAGTATATGAACAAAAATGAGCAAAGACTGGAATTTCTGATTGACAGTGAGGATTTTTATTGAGGATTATTGAGTGCAGAGAGAAAGGCTGACAACCTGGCATGGGAGAAGATACTTCCCCTGGGCTCCCAAGATCTAGGCTTCCATGGGTCAGGGGAGGGCCAGGGTCTGAGAACACTGTGCAGGGACCACTGTCTTCTCCACAGTGCTTCCTTCATGTGTGACTTCACAGCTGAACATGTTGATAGCTCTATATTGGTCAGATGTCATGGTCAGGTAGCTGCTGGCTGCATAGTTTTTGTTGCTCTGTTTGGAGCGCTTGGTGGTCTCCATACCCTGAGTGATGGGTGAGCCATCTGCCTTCCAGGCCATGGTCACCGTGGCAGGGTAGAAGTCACTCATGAGACACTCCATTGTGGCTTTGTTGGTTTGGAGCTCCTCAGAGGATAGTGGGAACAGAGTGACTGAGGGGTCAGCCATGGGCTGACCTGTGGGGTCAGGGAAAACAGGAGTTCATTTACTTAGTTTTCCCATGGGGAGCTTTGGCCTCTGTGTGTGAGGGAGGATCGGGCCCTCTATGCCAGTTCAAGACCCTTCATATGGTTAATTTGTCTCCTGGACAGTGGGTCAGGTGTTTCTAAAACCACTCTCTGTCAGTCCTAAGAACGTTGGAGCCTGCCTACCAGTGACCTGTTTTGGGGCCCTCTAGATTTTGGACTCCTGCACAGGCAGCAGGCCCTACGCCGCTTCCTCCTGCCTCTTCCTGACATCCTGCCCTGGTCAATCTCGAACTGTGTGTCCCCTGAGTACTCTGAGTCTCCTGTTAGATTCACTCTGGAGCCTTTTCTTACCCAACATATCTGATGTGCATACTCTGGGTCTAAACTAAGGGCTATGTTTTTACCCAGTTCTTTTTTCCTAGAACCTCTGCAGTAGGGCATTTGATCATCTGAGTGAGTCTATCTGCCTGTCCTGGTCTTTAGTTGTTGGAGTTCATGTTAAGAGTCCCTCTCTCTACGGACTGATAGGTGGCATTTATACCTTTGATCTTGGGATCATGCCTTGGGATCAAAAAACTCAAGGAATCCTGCTTCTTGGAGTGTGTCCTGCAGAGTCCCAGTAACTCATCTTCCTGAATTCCACATCCTTAGATGACTTATCTACTGGCTTCCTTGTGTTTGGAGTCTTCCTCTTTCTCCTCCCTCCTGGCTGGGTTTCCTGAGTACAAGGCCAGCTCAGGGCTTTCTCTGTGGCAGCCCATGGAATCCTCTGGAGTCCCTTCTACCTCCTACCTTTTTCTGTCCTGGATCCAAAGTCCCTCAGCCCAGGGGACTTGGCCAAGAGCCTCTGACCTGTGGTTCTCCAGCTGTGACACTCAAGATTTTTAGGCTCTTCTAAAGTCTCCCAAGTGGTTACATCTTCAATGCCATTGTAAAATGTTTCCTCCATTTCCCCTCAATAAAGTGACTCAAGCAGACTGGGCCCTTATGGGGAGGACAGTAAAGAGCAAGTAAATCCTGGAGATCCAATGACCCACTAGCAGAAAGAATAACAGACAGACAGAGAAGTCTCAGAAGGTCACCCCATTCAGTCCCTGCCTCTGGGGTCAGAGGTAAGGGTTACAGTGACCAATTGAGGCAAGCAGGTGTCTGAACAGGGTGGGGAGAGATTCTTGCCCCAGGGGTTGGGGTCAGGGAGAATGCTTGACCACAGGCTGATACAAGATAGAAAGAAGACAACAAAAATGGTAGAAAATAGGCGCAAACACTGGGGAGAGCAGGGAAGGATTGGGAAGAAGACACTTACTTAGGACAGTCACCTTGGTCCCTTCTCTGAACACCCAACACGGTGACACAGGCTCATACAAAATCCCCTCCCTGTGCCACCCCCAGTCCCCACCTGCAGCTGTGAATGAGGAAGCTCAGGCTCCTGATTCTGGCATTGTCTACTTAGCAATGTGCCCTCACAGTCCCCACCCATACCCATGAATAATGGGATGGGTGACATTGTGTGATACTGGATGTCACCCTGGAAACACAAGTTCCTGAGGGTCATCAGTGTCTTGGATCATCAGTGTCTTGGAAAACCAGTGTGATGGTTTTCCATCCAACTATCACCCAGGAATTGGAGTGAGTTTATTGATGGACCTTTGATTCACTAAGGAGTGACTTTCCATGGAAGCATATAGATAGGCTCTTCCCTGTAAAGCTGATACTATCCTGATTCCTTGCTGAAACCATGAGTTGAAAGTGGGTGCCTTCCTTCCTGAAGGACAAGGCCTTTTTCCCCGGAGTGCTTTGTTGTGGGAACCTTCCCATGAACCTGCCCCTGACTCCAGGGCTCTCAGCCCCACCTTCCCTGGGGTGTCCTTGCTGGAATGGGCCTGGTCAGTGAGGCCTGACTGGACTCCTGGGAAATTCCAGCCTCATCTTACAAGGTAGCTTTGGGAGCACCCTAGCCCCCTTTAATCTGGCATCTTGTTTTCAGGGTCATCTGGGGTGGTGGCTTCCATTGCCTTATTCATGAGGCAGCATCCCAACCATGGTCTCCAAAGACTACCTCCCACCAAAGTGGTGCCATAAGTGGCCTATCCAAGGACTGGGGCAGGGAAGGGACAGGTGAGGGAGATCTTCTTGTGATCTGAGAAATTAAGAACCATGGAGGTCCCCTGAGGTCATAATCCCAGGATCCTAGGAGCTTCCTCAGGGGGCTCCTTGTGTGCAAATGTCCATGTTTGTAGCCACATTGTCACCATCAGTGAAGCACAGCAACAAAGGATCCCAATGGCAGATCCATTTCCATAGTGGAGATCACCCTGGCCCTCAGTTTAAATGTTCACTTTGAGGCTAGCAGCATAACAGATGGTCAGTTTTTTAAAGAGGTGAACAAAGTGGAAGCATCTACATTTCTCCTCTTTCCTAGTTTATGATGCTCAGTCCTGAGTGGAAAAGAGTAGCACATTTAGTGTCCTTTCCTCATGCAAACACCACCGATTCCTGAGAAGGATGTGACTGGAACATCCACCCTCTGTGCTCCTTCCCATCTGAGGGACAAAGCAACTGATCATCCAACAAGCGAATATCAATAAATACTGAGGACCCAGCACAGCACCTTTTCTGGAAGTCACCAGTATTCCTGCGAACTTATTTACAATGTCCTGCCTGAGCCTGGTAAAACTGTTGATGCTAAAACCACTCTGTAGGAAACAGAGGCTAAGAGCAGTGCTGGGCTCCTGCTTGGGGAGGCAGTGGCTGCATCTCAACTCTGGGAAGGTCCTGGGACCAACCCTTAGCTCCTGCGGCTCCTGCCCTGCAGGACACGCTGGAGTGATTTGGAAGATGTCTCCAGATGGAGTAGGTCTAAATACATGTATACCAATCACAGTATCAAGTGTTTAGTTTTCATCAAAACTCAATTACAAACCACACATGAACAGCAGCACCCCAAAGT